AAAAATTTTAGTTTTTGACAAAACAAAGTTCTAGTAAAATTATATCACTTTAAAATAAAATAAATTTAATAACTAGAAAAATGACTGATAGACACAACACGCTTATAGGTAGATTATAATATATTATATTAGTATAGATATATAAATATAATAATAATTCTGGAACATAAATARCAAGGAAACGCACTCCCTTTCTCGATTTGTTATTTTAATATACAGTCCATTAACTGCCCGGCTGAAATAGCAGTTGTTTTTCGATATTATTTGGTTATTAGTTATTCCGTAGTCAGTCGTCACTCGTTGATCGAAATAAATAGGTATTGTGATCATGTCAAAAAAAGTACATAGTATCTATGAAAAACGTAAAAAAATATTTTGTTATCGTTTTATTTATATTATTTAAAAAATGAGATCCCCTTGGGATGGATATAACAATTAGATACCTATGATGGTTACTATTTACWAACATATTTTTTATAGTGTATAATAACGTGGTATTGTGGTAATACTAAGGTGGATTGATTAAGTTAAGGAAACCAGAAAATATTTAAACAAACCTGCAATTTTTTGRTTTATCGAGATAAAAMAAATRTTGATCGGTTTTTAATTTTCTACATTWACCTATATTTAAAAAAATTCTTTAGACTCCTGGATTCGTTTGATTATTAGTCACATCACTTGGCTCCGTATTTGAATGTTTGTTGTTGTTTATGYKGWTTCATKGATAGCAAAATAACAATAGCTATATTAATAAAATATACGAGGCGCATATAAGTACCTAATTTTATTATTTTCTGGTCCTAGTGATATTAACACGACAAAGTGTATTATTGTTGTAGAATTGTGAGTTGGGGATGTGGTGGCAAAGCCCTCCAGGGTCTGTGCTATAAAATTTAAGTTTTGGTGGTCGAACATCTATATTTGCTCTGTGAAGTAAAATAGTTCACGCCGCCACTGCGTATATTACATCGTTACATATGAGCACACATTTTGTACAGACATTATTTAAACGAATGGTTAGTAATAATTACTAGGTAATGAATTAATGAAAAACGACTTTGAAAAATGCACTGCTTATAAAATGTAATATATAGAACCTTGAAAATGCATAAAAATACTCCAAAAATAGGTTAAAATACATTGCAAGTATAGGTACCTACCTATAGGTATAATTATTAATTATGAATCGYAATAAATAACAAATTCAATTCTATTAAGAGAAATTTAACATTAAATAGATAAATATAATGGATAACATGTGCGTTAATGGTTTTAATTGACGAAAATAATTTAGTTCGTTAGTTTCAAATTCAAGTTTTGTGTAAATTATAAAAGTTATGTTTTACTTTCAGTAAGCTATAAATAATTTCATTTTTCTACAAATTCGCCGCCCTACAGTAATAGATAATAATGTGTATTAGATAATAATGCGTATTCATATCATCTATGTTAATAATGTTAA